TCCAATAGTTACGGTAATTATCAGAGAAACCAATCGTCTTATGGCTCTCCGGCCTCTTATGGCCAACGAAATGCCAATTCGTATCAAAGCTTTGATCGAAATGATAGAAATCCAAGACATCAAACACAACCGCAAGATTCGCAGCAAAGAAATCCTTATTATGCGACTAATCAGCAAAACCCTTATTATGGCACTAATGCCAACCAAAGCAGACGCGAAGATCCCTGGAATAGACGCCGTTGAGGCTCATCCATGGCTTCCAGAGTATGACTTCTTATCAAATAAAATGTAAATTTATTAATAAATGAATTTATAAATCAATCAATAGTTGAGACACCAGTAGTTTTCTTATTATAATTGTAAATTTTATTATTATTTGTATTTTATTAAATGTAATTTAATTTTAATATTATACCGAATAATGTATGAATTCAATTTGTAAAGCAAAATACATGTTTGTCAAATAAATGTGAATTTCTGATTGTAAAACCTACCCTGATCATAAGTAAAACATGAAATAAATAGCGATAAAAATGTGAACATATTTTGAATAAAGCGCTCAAACATTGAGAGCCAATGGAAAGCAAGCATTTGTGGCATTGCTTTGACTGCAAAGCATTGCATGTGTTTTGAATCGATTGCAAGTTTGGATCAAATGAATGGATAATCAGTGAAATCATGTCTAAAAATCTGTTAGATTTGAACGACTCTTCCGATGAAGAGCTCAATCAATTGAATCTGAACTCAGATTTCGCGAAAAACTATGACATTTGGCGCCGAAAGGAAGAGATCCAGAAATTGAAAGTATGTCTAAAAATCTGTTAGATTTGAACGACTCTTCCGATGAAGAGCTCAATCAATTGAATCTGAACTCAGATTTCGCGAAAAACTATGACATTTGGCGCCGAAAGGAAGAGATCCAGAAATTGAAAGACAAATACGGAGACAATTTGGATGTGTTGTCCGATTCAGACCAATCCGTGGGCTCCGGATCTGATGAGGACTCCGATGACGACGAGTCGGATGAGTCCATTGGTGACGAACAGCCAGTATTTGACGACCACTTCTTCAAAGTGTATTCAGCGCTCAAAAGCAGAAATCCTATCATTTATGACCAAAACAAGAAGTTCTTCAACGACTCGTCCAATGAATCCCAGACTGAAGATAACAACACCACTGATGACAATGTGATCAAAACTAAGGAGAAAACGTTGTCTTTGAAAGAATACCACAAAAAGTTGATTAAAGAGAAGAAAGGTATCACTGAAGAGGACGTCCTACAAGTGAATGGATTTGAAGAGAAACCGATCGGTTATTACGAAGAATTGGATCAAATAAGGGATGAATTTAAGTCTGTCCTCAACTCGGAGGACACAGAGGAACAGCTCTTTGAAGGCAAAGCACGACCCATAAGTGCTCCGAAGGATAAAACTCTTGAGTTTTTAAATGACGATAACATTGAAGCGAATGATTCAGACCTGAAGTATCTGAAGAGTTACTGGAAGAATGAGAAGCAGTTGGAGGACAACGAGAAGTTCTTAAGAGATTATATCATAAATAAAAGTTATGTTGATATCAAAGATAAGGAGGTGTTTCGAAAACCCGAGTTTACGGGCAATGAGTTGAATGGCAACAGCAGTGATGCCGAAGAGAATGGTTTTGACACAATCGATGACATGAATGAAGACAAACAGAATGGTCTGAAAGTAAGTAAATATCATTTCGAAGAACTCGATGCTCTGGACATTAAGAGATATCCCAGAAATATTGAGACGATTCGCGACACAACTAACAGCGAAAAGAGAGCCCAAAAGCGGAGCGAAACGAAGGATAGGAAGAAAAAGGAGAAGGAAAGGGAACTCAAGAGACTCCGGAAGCTTAAGAAAGAGGAGTTGAAAGAACGGCTCCAGAAGTTTCAAGAAATCAGTGGTAATGATAATATGGACGCCAATGATCTGGTGCTCAATGAATTGCTGGACGACGAGAATGACTTCGATTCTGATAAATACGACCAGAAAATGATGGCTTTGTTTGGAGACAATTACTACTACACTGAAAAGACAAACCACAAGAAGCCAGTGTTTGAACACATGCCTGAAATAGACGACTACCAGTGCGATGAAGAGGTCGATGATAACGCCAATAACGCCGAAGATATTAATGATGACGTGAGTCTAAAGTTATTATTATTATTGAAATTCTGAGAGTTTACTGATTTTGATATGTTTTAGATTGAAAGCAAAAGCAAACATAACGTGAATAAAAAGTTGGATAAAAAACAAAAACGAATTCACAAACAAATGACAGAAATGGGTATTTTTGAGGATCTAATTGGCGGTGATTTGGCGACCCGTTATAAGTACCGAAGCGTTCAGTCCAATGATTTCGGTCTAACGGATGAGGAGATCCTGTTCTCTGATGACAAAGAGCTCAACAAATGGTTACTGGTAGTCGTCTATTTCAGGCATGTGTTCAAACACTGGCTTCTTGTGGTTTGTCTTTTCAGTGTAGTAGTAATTGTCTCCAAACAAAGCCATCATTTTCTGGTCGTATTTATCAGAATCGAAGTCCTTAAGCGAAGGATTCTTAAAAGTTATTACGAAAAACAAAATGATAACCAAATGAACGGACAAATGGATTCCGAATTGAATTCTAATACTGATAACAATAATAAGAAAAAGAGGAAACGAAAGCATAGGAAACCAAACTTTACTATTGAAGAAATGAATCCTAAAACTCAAAGCAAACCAGAAAATAGTGATAAAGTGTCGCAAAAGAGTCATAATTTGAATAAAAAGAAGAAATTTAAAGGAAATAAGAAACAGAAATCCAATGTTAATGAGAGCTCACATTCTGGTGTCAGTGTTGATAGACTCAAAGCGTATGGTTTAAGTAATAGAAAAATTAAGAAATTTAATTATAAGAATAAATGATTTGTGATTAAACTTATTTGTGGATTGAAATAATTTTTGTATTTGTAAATTATTTTAATAAATCTTAACGAAGTTTATTAATGAATCAAGAATATTTGTTATAAATAAGTTATAAAATGACGCTATTTTAAATTTAATCTCGAAATACTACAGTATTTGTAGATATATTGTAGTGTAAAATAAGATAGTTCATAAATACATTATATTATATATGGTAGATGATAGAATAATTATAAGTTAATGTAA